ACTCACCACAACATCACAAGGACAGATGAACGCTCGTTGGGCACCATATATCCCTCACCAACTGCAACCCACCTTTCCTTAGATAATGTGATGAACTTATATCCATAATGTTGCTGAGCAGTTAATATTCTCAACTCCTGTCGGAACAGCTGAAACTCATAAACCTTCCTAACGCTAAGAAAATACCCGTAATCAGTAGAAATCCATTAATTAATGCGTCCGAAGCTTATGTACTTACTCCCAACAATGACATTGAAGATCAAATGAGATAAACACATCACTGATTCCAAAATAACACATCAATGAACTATAATTCGAGGACTCTGCACACAACAAAGTTATGTACGAATATTTACTTCAAGCTTTATTTTTTTCCCAGGCACTTATAATCCATCCACCAAAGATCTGGTTTTTTTGTTAATGCGAAGACAATACTCCTGTATTTCCTGTTGTGTTGCACTCACTGACAATCTAGCAGATTTTTCCAACTTTGCACAGAAATGATTGTATATAAGTGAAAAGGCTGTTTTATACTACTGGGATTAACATTTATTAAGTGTATGTACAATCTCCAACGAACATGTGAAGCATATCTTGCTACTGCCTGTAAATTGTGATTAAATTATATGGTTCTATTTCTGTAACAATTTGATGATGCCTGTAAACTGGCGTCCCTCATGTACTGTACTATGAGAATAAATTTATTTATTTATTTATTTATAACAAGAATGCATCAAAGAAATGAATTAGATATCCTCTCCTTGGTTTCAATTACTGTTGTGGTAACTTGTCCACAGATGTCGTAACTAGGACAACGCACAGCATTTTCCGAAATCATCCCAGCATGAAGTAGCCTCATCTAAGGTCACCACGACCAATCTGTCAACTAATCAGAATTAGACTAAGGGGTAAATGCACTCCACTAACCTTCGTATCATATCTTTATTTCTTGTTCAACACCAACTCACAAGTTAACCAGGCCAGCTTAGTATCACCTAATTACTACTGTTCGTCACAGGCATACAAGTGTAAATTGCTTTACAAATGCCCGAAACAACCAGTGACAAGGGTGAAGGGCCTCTATATTAACTCTTAGCCAACGCTCATAAAGCCAGCTTGTGTGTGCATAGGTTTACAAAATCTAATTTTACATACGCCCAACGAATCTTTGCCATTGCAAATTGAGCACTGGTCTTTGATTTTGTGTACGTACTTTGGATGGTTACTGACGCCTGCATCTATTTCGCATAATTTAAAGTTCGATTTCGCTTACAGCACATTTATTCAAGTCTTCTCCTGTGCTTTTTATGCAATGTTGTTCGTGTCTAGCCACAGACAGCATTTAGTGCATTGTAGAACCTGAAGACGTGGGCTTGCCATAGCATATTAATCAGTCTGATATCTAACGCAATAAACTAGTGGGCCTGGTGTATCGAGACGATATCTGGATTACTATTATTCTAACTCTCGTAGATCTATATATGTACTTCACATTTCGCACTCATCTTGGTGTAATTCCCGTGCATATAACCTGAATTTTGTCGCGGTCCTTTTGTATTTTCATCTTGTATACATTTTGCTGTTTTTTAACTCTGATACCGATCTTCTACAGACACTAATATTTACCGTGATATCTCTGCCAGAAGCCGTCAGTGCCATTACTCTAACCTTACCATTATTCCAACCTAGAGCGGCTCATCTTCGGTTTGCTCGACTGGAATACTGTTTCATTACAAATAAGCCATCTTCACATAACGTTAAATTTGGCTTCTTGCCTGCTACACTACCAGACAAAGTCTCCGAGCAAGCACGCTTAAGTATCGTTCATCCCAGCGCTGAATCCTCTAAGGACTAAGTGGAAGAATCCCTATGCTGCACGTCACTTTCCTGCAGGCACTGGATCAAACGTTAAGTAATATTGAGTTAGGTAAAACAAACTCCGTCCCAACGCTCGAGGTAAGATTAGGGCCTTGTAGCAGAGTGGGAAATCGACGAGTGACTACTTTATCAAATCTCCATACAATTGCGGCGTGCGATACAGATAGGATTTATCAGTGATACATATGGAGATTTACTGATTATTGACACATAGTCCTTAAAATTATCATCCAAATTTCGAAAAAAAACGTGTTCGTAGAAACACAATTGTTTTGGATAGTGGCTCAACCTCGGTTATAGCTGCATTACCACTCTGTAATACAGTATCAACTACGAGCTCACAAAATAGCTCGAGTGCAGTTCTCACTCCTGTGATGCAGGTGAAAGATGTTCTATTGGGGAACTCTGATTTCTGTAAATTAAACCGTCTTGTGAAAGGTATCCAGAGCAAGTAAGTAAGCTCCAGGAAAAATTAGACCACTTTGATAGAATGACACTGCCAATCTCAAACATCACAGAGAACCATTTTGACATTGACCAGGTGAGGCCTTTACTGGACGTAACTCATAACAAGCTTGCTGATTTATACCTAATAGCCTGTCTTTTTAAAAAACATGCCAAAATTTCTCCTGACAACCTAAATAAAGCTGAAAATCTCATTGACTGGCTTGTTGCCAAAGTGATGAAGCGTATAGCCTCTTCTCATCAGGCTATGGTTTACAATATCCCAGACTCAATGCCTCTGCAGACTATATGAAACAAAATCCTGCCTTGTTGCGGCATGGCTAGTGTGCCATGTGAATGCAAAAGACTTTGTAAAAAGTCGACCCAGGCTAACTGTCCCATCATTTTTAAGTTTGTTAATTCTCTTGATGCTAGTAATTCTGCTAAGTTTCAAGATCATTTGAGAATGAGCAGCAGCTACAAGTCTGTCACCATAGCTAGGGACGAAACACCGTGTCAACGCAGATAATGCGTAGCAATAATCTTGTCACCTCCTCTGGCGTAAATGTATGGAAAGTGGATCGTGTATCGCAACAGCCACCTAGTACTGACAGTGGCATTCAGCGAACTACACAAAAACCACGCCTATCAATGGAACTAGGAACTGATTGAGATATCAGTATTCCTGCAAATAAATCCTCATTGAAAGGTGTTAAAATATCTAGTACTGCTGCAGGTTGTTCTAAGAAATTTTCACCTAAACGTAGTAACCTCACAATGGTGAACAAATTTCGCAGGATCCAGTCTAATGATGGGGAAGAATACTTTGTATTCAGTGAGCCTGCTGAGATTAAGCGTGTCAACAAACCCACACTTGATACGAAGAAATCCTATCAAACCACAAGTATATATGGTGGTTTTCAGCATACTCCGCCTTATAGAAACTTACGTCCCCAAACCCCCAAAGTCCTGCAACCGTAGCACCTTCCCCCACAATACTCTTCTGGTTATACAAACAACACCAAGACGCGTACCTGTGTGCTGCACAGCAGATTCATGGGCGGATGTTATAATGCTATGCCTTTTAAATAAATAAACAGACGCCTGTCACTGTTTAAAGGAGTAATGCAACACTGTAGCAACCGAGGATAGCTCTTATGAAGCGAGGAGGTGCTATGGTGGTTCTAATGGTTTTAGGCACACTTGCTCATTCCATTGTATGAGCCCGATCGCTCCACCACCGTGTCTGCTACTCCATTATAGGTCGCGATGGTGTGCTTCATTTCCAGTTGTCTGTATAGTTAATAATAATCTGCTTTATTCCAAAACAGTACATGTGATACAGAATGGAATTCTCAGCATTTTTACTACAGTATTGCATCCAGTTAGTACATTATCAATAAATAAAATTCTACATAGATTAAGGAAATCTCAGTTGATTATGACAACAACATATTGGCATGTTGGTAGCAAAGCCAAAGTTAAACAGTGTTTGAAGGTGTTAGAAAAGTGGGTGCTATCATATTTACTGGCGTAAGCGGAAGAAAGAAACGAAGCAGCACATAACAGAAAAAGAGAGAGAGAACAGGAATAGAAAGAAAGAAAACGTTTTACCTAAAGATGATATGAGTTGGAAAGATCAGGTCCAGTTGTTGTACTGACTATTTAATAAGTTATAGGTATCAGGCCTAATGCTTTCTTTATCACACAGAACACGAGCTAAGTTTACTAGGGAGGCGTAACTGCCCAGTCACGTAATTGTGTATCCCTAAATTCTCTTTATACCGTCTTTAATTTAAAAAATCCTCGAACGACTGCAAGTGCTGTATTCTATCCTAACTAGATGAGCTGGTGTTAAAGGAAGACTAGCCACCAGGTCAGGTAGGCTAGGCTAAAGATATAGCTTTCAATGTGGCTTCAGCGCTGGTCTAGTGGGATCTATCGTCACAAAACAATCCTGAAAGTTGTTTGTAGCTAAAACTAACCTAAAATAGCCCGAGGTCGTTCAGGAAGCGTAACTAAGTGGATTGTTCCCTCAACCTAGCCACGAACTCTAGAATAAATGGTGTCTTCGCTCTCAACTGAATTGTTCAGGAAGGGAACTGACAGGTATAGTCACTTATTGGAGGAAGAGTGGCACGAAATCAAAGCACTGCTTTCAGAATTGAAAGATTTTAAATGTGAATCTGAATAATGCTTGATCCTCTACTGAGGTACTTAGGTGCACTGCATTTAACTTCTCGGAACTCGGGGGAAACCTTGTTGCTCAGTCACACTGGATGTCATTTCGTCACCGCATTTTCAGGTTGTCAAAGTTTAGTCAAACTTTCGTATTGTATCTTTAAACCCTCTCGGACTCCCTCATATAGGCGCAATTATCCATGAAACTATTGATAGTTGGTGTGCTGGTGATATACGAAGAATTTAGTAGTACCATCCTCAACAACTCAAGTAACTGGACATGTTTATTTACATCATGATATTCCTTGTAGATCAAAACAGTATTTTCACTTTCCTCAACATCAGGAGTCATCAAAATCTAAAGTTAGAGCACAATGACAGGTTTTAATGAATAAGTCCACATTTATTGTTTAAGTACCTTGATTTTGCAGACTTTGAGGTCAAGAATTTGATACTAAATTGAGTTTCACATATGACCTTGATAACCATTTCCGATTATGGGAACAACAGATGACCGGTTTGTCGTCATTATTACTTATATTTCGATTACTTTTGATCAGTAGATTTTCGGACCGTGGATTTAGAAAACCAGAATTTGTAGAACTTGATGAGTATTCTGACTTTGTCCAAGCATATGAGTCAGTCTTACAACGGCGACTTACGCGTTGGGAACAGTATTTTTCCGCCCTACCATCAAAAAAGAGCTCCAAATGTTTGTTTCAAATTATTTTTTTCATAATTTTTCAGTGAAAAGATTTTGTCGTAAAGGAGTACCGGATCATATTAGAGCGACAGTATGGATGCATCTTTCGGGAGCTCAGGAACGAATGGAAGCTAATCCAAATGCATATAGCATTGCAGTTACTCAGAAACCACCAAATAACATTATGAATGTAATATTGGCAGGTTTGTTCACTGCATTTTGGGGTTTCACTTATGTTGCATTTTATATCCTTGTAATAATAATCAGTGATAATTTGAGTTTAAACTGTAATGTGACAGTTGTCACGTTAATTAATAAACGTATATATTTTTCTTGGCAGTCAGTAGGCATGAATTATGTGTGCTATTACCATGGCATTGAGGTTTTTATTTTTTGTTGTTAATTACCCATTTTTCGAGTTATGCATTGTCCTCCTAGATACGCTTACATATGTTAAGATCCAGATTTACCGATTGAGAGTAAAAGGCTTAAAGTCTGTGTTAATCTTTTTCTAATAAGTTTTTGCGGTCCTCGAAACTCTTATTTAATGAGTCAATTGAGGGTGCTGACATAACGTTGTAAAAAGATCATTTGCGGAATTTCGGTATTGTGGTAGAATGTGTCATATGTCAACAGAATCCAGTTATCAATACTATATCACCAGGTTATATAAAGTAAACTTATCTGAAATTACGTTTAAAATAATTTGTGAACCTGGCTATTTTATTGTCCTGAGTCTCATGTTAAGTAGGTGAATAATGTCTTTTTCCATACATCTCACAGCTGTCCTGTAAACTCATTTGATTGCTAAAATAAATTTTTCATGTAATTTTGCAGGTTAGTTTTACTTTATTTTGAAAAATCTTGTGCAAATTCATTTGTTATCTGAATTTTTTTCACTGACATCGTGTTTGTATTTTGAAATGTTGATTCAATAGTCATCACTCTTTAGATATGTTGGACATATTCTTTGAATTTATGGTCATCTCGTATGTCCTATGTCATTTTTTTAGTAAATTATTGACTGTCGCACTTATTTCCATTTGAAACATGATTGATTTTCGAGTGTGAACTCATTGTATCACACTGGAACATAGTTCATCCCAAAGCTTCCCTTACGTTTATTAACCTTCATTTCATGTCATTAATATGACTCTGAACAATAAATTGTACTCTAAACATCATTCAGTTATCAATACTGAATCACTGTCTGACATATCTAATGTGAAGCTGGTTCGTGTGGTTGATTTCTTGTCAGCCAAACCTCTAAAAAGGTTATGAAATTATTTATAAATGCAATACAAAGGTGAACAATTTGTTATCAAAGAAAAGACCAAAATTATTATTTATTATTATTATTGTTTCCTTTAATTCCTAGAGGAAAATAGGGCTTCAGCCGTGCGTCTCCATTGTGTTCGGTTCTCTGCTAGAATCTTCACCTGGCTCCAAGTCTGCCCAGACGTTTTCATCTCCTCTTCACATGACCTCCTCCAAGTCACCGTCGCACTGACAACCAACTCACCACTTCCCTTTCGGGTTCCATTCGAGCAATGGCTTGTCTAGTGATGTCACTTGATTATTTCCTCGAAGTATGGCCAATCCATCTCCATTTCTTCCTGCTTATTTGTTTCACAGTTGGTTCCTGGTTGGTTTGCTCCCAGAGATCCCTGTTGCTGATCTTTTCTGGCCGGCCTTCCGATCTTGAGTGGTATTGAGCAAAGATAACTGTTAATGAAAGTCTGTAGTTTGTTTGAGATGCTGTTTATGACTCGCCAAGTCTCTGATCCGTATAGTAGCACTGACTTTACATTGGAGTTGAAAATCCGGATCTTATTTTTCATGCAGAGTGCTGTTGACCTCCACACAGACTTGAGAGTAGGCCAAAATTAGCTGATGAAATTTCTGACTGTTGATGCACACTATCTTGAATGAAGTCAGCTTCAAAATCTAAGCACTAAGCCTAATTGATATACATGAACGCTTAAATTACATGACTCTGAATTCTAGGCACCATGTTTTCCCACTGTTTTTCTATTTCCTTGAATTTTTGTCACTGTTGCAAATTCGTTGATTTCAGAAATATCCCTAGGCGATTAATTTAAAGTGCAACAAGTTGAATCGGTTTTATATTGTTTAAATCTATGTGTTTAAAACGCGAAATTCTTTTCAATCTCTCTTCACTCTTCATTAGTATATCACTGTGAAATATTACAATCTCATAAACTTATCCTCAAAATGTAGGAAGGCATATTTCACCATTAATCTAGTAGAATGGATTAAGGTTATGTCTTACTCCCAATATTTTACCGATAACATTAAAGATTCGGCTCCTAAAAGTACGTTTCGCTGAACAAAGAATTTACTTCATCAGTAGCTTGCTACGAATAATTTCTAAAGTAGGGAATCAAATCCTGCTGACTGCTTATTCAAATCCTCATAATACTCGGCTCTCTACCATCACTTTTAGCTGACTCCACCTCTGTCGTAAGCTTTCATTTCCTCCTCGCATGATCTCCATGTCAACCTCGTATCCACACCCAACTCATCCATTCCCATTTGGGTCATACTCAAGGGCCTGCCTGGTGTGTGATATCACGCGTATGTTTCCTCTGTACCTTTCCAGTCGACCTCCATTTTCTTCCGAGAACTTGTCAGCCAACAGTTTCTTGGCTGATTCACTGCCAGAGTTCCTTGTTACTTTCTTATCGTTCGTGGTCATTTCCTCTACAGTATCGAATGAAGGTAGTTTGTGAAAATTTGGAAATACTTATGGTAGTGTCTCCATCAAGTGTTCGAACTACAAAGAAGTACTGAATTTGACATTAGTGCTGAAGATTAGGATCTTGTTCCTTGTAGTAATTTTAGACTGGTGACTGCTTGTTATGCTTTCCCGATACAGTCTTTGACATCCTCTTTCGTGCCACCTTCAGTTGAAGCGACGCTACCGAGGTAATTGGAAGATAAACATTTCTTTATATTACTCTCTTTGATAGTAATCGACGTTTGCTGTTGGTTCACATGAAGTTTTGCCTTCGCCCATCTTATCACTCCTCATGGTGTACTGTATCATTCAGTTCATCATAATCAGAAAGATCACACACAGTTCAATATATAGTCTGTAGGAAATCTACAATACAAATTAATTACCTATTATGTAGTAATTTAATAGTTATTTTTTTTTGTGGTTTTTCTCTGTACTTTCAGATGTTCCACGTACATTTCCTGAGAATATTCATTTCCAAGATACCGATGGTCCAAACAGTAAACTGGTGTCATTGGAAAGAGTTTTATCAGCGTTTGCAGTCCACTGTCCTAATATTGGTTATTGTCAGGTAGGTCACAAACTTCACAAAATATCTTGAAAAAGAAGAAACCTGAATTAGCATTTTTATTGTTGATATACGATTAATTAAAATGTATTTATGGCTAAATGTAACAATATGTCTACTTTGATTGAACACTGACTGGTGTCACGTGTCTAGCCCTTTGTTTACTGCAGATTGAATTTTATCCGTCAAGTTTGCAACGTTGCCATCATGCTAGGTGGCTCGCCACCACGATACACTCTGAATTGATGTTATTAGATGGCTGGAGGCAATCTACAGAATGCCTTGCTCGACCTAGATTTCGTGGTCACTTTGCCACTCACCAGTCAGCAAGGAACTCATGTCCCTTCTAAGATCCATACCCGGTCACCCAATGCTACGGTCAGAGACGTTGTCACTGAGCTATCGTGGCTCACTATTGACCTCCTGTAGGACTGTATTGGATACTTCGATCGGACAATAACCAGTATCATGTGCCTAGTCCATTGTATACTGCAGACTGAATTCTATTAGTCAAGTGATAAAATCTCTGACTGCAGCACTGGATGACACGAGCTTCGATTTCAGAGGGGACATGAGTTCCTTCAAGATTGTAAATACGCCTTGGTGACTGGTGAGGGGCAACAAGCACGAAATCTAGGTCAAACAGGGCTTCCTGCCGATTACCTCCAACTATCTGACAGCATCGCGCCTGGTTTAGCCATGATTCCATACATCCAACTGCCAACCGACTCTCCAACTCACACATGCACACATCCTGTTTAGTTCTCTTACTGGCTAGTTCAGTTTTCCTGGTTGGGTTTCTAACCACGCCCCAACTTTCCCTTTTTTGAGCTTACTACTTGCTGGCCAAGATTAAGAGTACGTCATCCGGTAATCGAACTCAAACCTCCCACGTGGTTGACGAGCATTTTACCACTGAATCATTGATGCATATCTAATGAAGTGTTGAATTGTAATGACGGGTAGAAAATGGACACTCCTCTATCACTGCATTGCTTTAATTTTGACCGGATTACAGTGATAAGTCACTGATTGTCGTGTGCTATAGTACTCGTGGATGTTTAGTGGATAGTTCATTGTCTTGTAGCTTTTCTTTTGGAAGGCAGCCTTAAGTCATATATTACTCGGTCTGTTCCTGAGGTGTCTTTGTTCAAGATGATTAGGAAATATGCTCTGAATGCTTAACGACTATCCACTTCAACGAGTTGTGTACCGTTCCCAAAAAATACACCAAGTATCTCCTGACCAAGATGTCTGTCTGTCTGGATTCAACATAGAACTTGGCACCGAAGTGCAGCAGTTCGAGTTGCCACATTCCAAATAGGACACAAAGGTAGACAAGAAGATGAGTGAAGAGAATCAATAGAGTTTTGACAAGTATAAAATTGGAACAGAATGAGTAATGGTAGAAAGGAATATGAAAGATTACGGAGACTGAATACATCTGCATAAGTCATTGACAACGACTTTGAGCCATGTCACCTATTGTCTCCAGCCATTGATTCTTAGAGTCCCGAGGGCCTCTTTGAAACCTCTTTGATAGTGATAGTGATTTTGCTGGTTGTTGTTGTTGTTTATCGGTGCGTGGATATCTTCATCACCTCCGTCTTCTCTATGTTCACCTGAGATCTGTCCTGTTTTCGCTTCTTCTTCTTCTTCTTATTCTGCTAGTTTGTTGGTTTTCGCCTGCAAGTCTTCGAGTTTGCGTGACATTAAACATAAATGTTCCGCGCAAAATCTAAATCTTCTAGTGTCTTCTTATCCGTCGTCCAGCATATTCCTGTCTTCACGCTCCCCACAGTCTGACACACGATGCAGTTCACCGCAATTAGGGCATGGACAGTATTATTAGGTAGATTTTAGGTAGGTGGACGTTCAGATATCAAAGGAAAGGAATATGAAAGATTACAGAAACTGAATACATCTGCGCCATTGACAACGATTTTGAGCCATGTCACCTATTGTCTGTCTCCAGCCATTGATTCTTAGAGTCCCGAGGGCCCCGACCCGGAAGTCTGCATCTCCCTCCCTACCTGACTCAGTTTAACTGTCAGGGATTTCATGGATTGATGCCATGTTTTTGTTTGGCCACCGCTTACTCTTTTCCAACCTGCACCTATATCAGCTAGTAATGCCCGTCGGGGTGGGGGAGGCGATGGTTAGGCATGCGCAGCACGTGACCTAGCCATCTCAATCTATGTAACTTTATAGCCTCTTCGATTGATTTTCCCTCTTTGCCCAACACTCTACGCCTAACGTCAACATTACTTACCTTATTATGCCACCTAACGTGAGAAAGAGATCGTAGACATCTATGATCAAAAACAGTCAACCTTTTCATGTCTTCAACTCGTATTAGCCATGTTTCAGAGCCATAGAGAAGGACAGAGCGACCAAGATGTGACAGTAAACCAGTTATTATAGACACCTCAAGATTATTCATAGCGACATTCGTCGATTTCTGTCTCACCATACATCTTAATACCTGTTATCTGCGTTTCCCAGCATTATACATTGTCTCATGAATATCTTTTATCTTAATATGAAGTTTGGTAAGATGGCCAGTTAGATAGTGATATTATTTTCTGTGTTAACAATGCCTATCCTTGCCTAATATGCAATCGATTCTCACTATTCTTTGCTCTTATTTTTCTATTCTTATCCTCTTAATCAGGGTATGAATTACATAGCTGCAGTACTTCTACTGGTTCTTGATTGTCCTGCAGATGAAGCTGAAGTCAAAGCATTTTGGTTATTAGATGCATTGGTTAATCATATTCTACCAAAGTATTATTCATCTGATATGTTGGCTGTACGCGTCGACTGTATGGTGCTCAATGAATTATTAAGGTAAGTGAAATTCGTGCCGTTTGGTTGATGTTAGCTGGCAGTGGGATCGTCCCACCTGGGGCTCATCAACTGGATGAACCTAGATCCTCAATGAGTAACACAGTATTCCCACTGGAACGTGAACTCGGCTTCTGTCGTTTCACGTATCAACGCGTTATCTGCGGGACGGGATAGCCACCTGTTATGAAGTTATTGTGTATTCGGAGTCATTATTTTGATTTCTTCGGACTGAAATATTCGGTGTGTGTGTGTGTGCTGACACGTTGGCTCTTCAGTGGGGAACTTCATTACTCACTGCATCCGGATGATAAGTCTCACATAAGACTTAGTGTCAGTACCAATAGCCATTATTAGCGATTGTAAACCAAGTAAATTCATATTACTCTTTAGAAATCGTCGAAGCATTTGTTTCGGAAGCCGCCAGCACTATAACAGCCACCGAGTATTTCAGCCCGTTATGATTCGATCATCGTGAAATTCAAAATAACGACTTCAAACAAACAGATCAGCTGATGATCATGGCTTCCCACACCGTGGAATTTGATTTTTTCTCTGGCTGTTGTGACCGCAAACCCTAGGGGACAACTGCCTGAGGCCGGTCATACATGACCAATTTGAATTAGTGTTTGCAGTTGTGTCCGTATTAAGAACATACCTCTGACTGCGGACTACCGAAAGATAAGTTTGCATTCAAACAAGTTAAAGTAGCTAGATATTCATTTTGTGGACCGTAGTTACTGTTTGAAATTCCTCAATGTTATATGGTAAATGGCTGACGTTCCGTTCTCAAACTAGCTAATTAATTCAGAAGGGAAAATAGATTGGTAAATTTAAGCGAAATCAGCTGTTCTATGAGCAGTTGGTATGGAAGACTATAATTCTTATCAAAATCCATTATGTATCAAGGATTCGCACCACTCAGGGCATTATTATTATTATTGTTCCCTTGTGTTCCGAGTGGAACATAGGGTTTCAACAGCACGTTTCCATTTTACTCTATTTTTCACGGTCATGTTAAGCTGACCCCATCTTTGCCCATAGTCTCTTATCTCCTTCTCAAACGATCTCCTCCATATCACCCTCGAACCGCCCACTCTTCATTTCCCATTCGGGTTTCAATCGAGAATGTGCGCGCGATGTTAACCAGCTGTCTCCTCGGAGTATCCCCATTTTCTCCTACATATTTGTTGAGCAATTGGTCCTTAGTTGGTTCGTTCTCAGAGTTTCTTGTTGCCATTTCTTTCTGGCCATTTGATCTCCACTATTGAGCCACCGAGGGCACTTGTTGATAAAAATCTACAACCTGTTGGAAATGCTTTTTGTGACGCGCACTGCAAGTTTTTGACCCGTATAGAAGAAATGACTTGACATGGTTGTTGAAAATCCGAAACTTGTTCTTTGTGCTGAGTTATTGCACAAGATTCCCATACAGGGTTCAGGTTGATGAAGGTGTACCTTACCTGGCTTTGACAACTTCATAGGTCCCGTCTGTAGTTGAAATGATGCTGTCTAGTCAGGTAAGTGAAGGAGGCTGGCTGGCTGGATTCAACATAGAACTTGGCACCGAAGTGCAGCAGTTCGAGTTGCCACGTTCCAAATAGCACACAAAGGTAGACAAGAAAATGAGTGAAGAGAATCAATCGAGTTTTGACAAGTATAAGAGTGAAACAGAATGAGTAATGGTAGAAATGGATATGAAAGATTACAGAGACTGAATACATCTGCGTAAGCCATTGACAACGATTTTGAGCCATGTCACCTATTGTCTCCAGCCATTGATTCTTAGAGTCCCGAGGGCCTCTTTGAAACCTCTTTTAAATTTCACCGGTTGATAGTGTTTTTGCTGGTTGTTGTTGTTGTCGGTGCGTGGATATCTTCATCACCTCCATCTTCTCTATGTTCACCTGAAATCTGTCCTGTTTTCGCTTCTGCTTCTTCTTATTCTGCTATTTTGTTGGTTTTTGCCTGTAAGTCTTCGATTTTGTGTGACATTAAACATAAATGATCCACACGAAATCCAAATTTTCTATTGTCTTCTTATCGGTCGTCCAGCATATTCCTTTCTTCACGCTCCCCACAGTCTGACACACGATTCAGATCACCGCAATTAGGGCATGGACAGTGTTATTAATCGGATTTTAGGTAGGTGAACGTTCAGACATCAAACTAAACATTATTGAGGACGTTTTCTCATAAAGTGTCAAAAAAAGTCATTAAAAAAACAGCTGTAATGGCTAAATACTTACATGCTATTACTCACTATCGAAACTGACTAGATTGCTCAAATAATGTATGATACTTTAGAAAAAGTGAGTATATGCTCTCCAAAGCCGCGTGTGGTCTCACTCATGTTGTGAAATTCTTCAAGTTTTTCACTCATATATATATTAACATCTATCATGTGGTATACAAGCATGTGTTCCTCTACTGGAATTGGAGCTCTTGGTGAGTGGTAATTCTGAAAGATTAATGACACTAGTGTATGCTATTCTGTAATAAAAGTATGACACACATATTTGGGCAGTCAAATTTTGAATTGATGGACTGCCCTTCATCTGAAACACTCAAGGCAGCTGATTTCTATCATATGTCTCCATACCATTAAGTGTGTTGCTCATCATATAATGTACAAATTTGCAACAGATCTCTAATCATTTGCAGTTTATTCAGAAGAAACGCGTCTTTTCATGAATGTGGAATTCAGTCCTGAATGTGTTCATGGAGCTACCTTTGGACCCTTTAACAAAGGGACAAAAGACACATCCTCTAATTCCGAAACTGTTGTTAGTTTTCATTCATTGTCCTTAGTGGTTGGTAACGGTTACCAGTTATAACTAGGATGGGTGCTCTATCCTATTTACATCCCCAGTGTGTGATGATGTCCCAGTTGAGACTTGTAACTAGTACCAATGACTCCAGAGGTATTTAAGTACGGTTGAGAAAGTTTAATGTCCGCATTAACTGAGGTTCTAGGCACGTTGACCGCTTCACTTACTTGGGAAGTACCATCAGCCCCGACGGGTTGATCTCTGACGAAATCGCAGTACGAATACAGAGGGCTAGTTTCACATATGCCAGTTTACGCCGTCTCGGGCGTAGACGTGATATCCGACTATCGACCAAAGGGCGTGTGTACTGCTCAACAGTTTGCTCCGTCCTCCTTTATGGCTGTGAGACCTGGCCATTGAGAGCAGAATACATGAAAAGATTAGCTGTCTTCGATCATAGGTGTCTGCGTACTGTCTCCCGCGTGAAGTGGTATAATAAGGTGAGCAATATTGAGGTTAGGCGTCGAGTGCTAGGTAAGGAAAGGAAATCAGTCGAGGAGGCTGTGAAATTACATCGACTGAGATGGTTAGGACATGTGTTACGTATGCACACCTAGTCATCGCCTTCCTCGACAATGGGCAATGTTAGCTGATATAGGGCCAGGCTGGAAATGAGCTTGCTAGTGGCGGTCCAACGAAAACATGTCTTCACCAGTCAATGAAATCCACAACAGTTAGTCTAAGCCACGTAGTAAGGTGTAGACTTCCTGGTTGGGGTCCTCGGGACGGTAAACACCAATGGTTGGAAACAATTAGTGACATGGCTCAAAATCGTTCTCAATGGCGCAGATGCATCCACTCCTTGTGACTTATGATTTCCAATGAAACTGTTTTGTTCTTCGCTATTACTATTCCTTTGTCTCACACCTCTATTTACTGTCTATGTTATGCATTTGTCTTACTTTCTTCTCTTGCTTTGTGTGCTACATAGAGTGTGGCGACTTGGACTGCCGCACATATGTGCGAAGTTCTATGTCGAAAACCGACCGACCGACCAACCAATCTTTTCAAACAGCCACAACATTTACTTCTTGTGCTACCGGAATCAGTTTTCACTTGTGAAATTATTACTGTTTAAATTTTTCGTTGATCTGTTTTATTGAATCGAAATGCTCACTACAAGAAGAGGAAGCTTTGATGATATCTGAAGGTTTCTATGGATCAATAATGTTTGCGTTTTATCTCTCGTAGTAACTGGTTTCGTATAGTGGGGAATATAGAAGATAGGCGTAGATAATGAGGTTACATCGATCGAGATGGCTAAAACGGGTATCACACATTTCATTCATAACATTTCTCACTGAGCATTACTAGCTGACAGGATGTAAGCGTGTGGAAGACTTAGAGATGGTCAATTCAAAACGTGCCATCAATCGATGGATCTTTTTAACAGCTGTCTTCGCTCAATACTCGAGATCAGATAGCGGGCCAGAAAAGATCAGCAACAGGAATCTCTGGCAATGAGCGAACCAACCCAGCAGGAACCGATTGTGCAACAAATAAGCAGGAAGAAATGGAGACGGATTGGCTTGCCATACTCTGCGGAAAACAAACCATCAAGTGACATCACACAACAGGCCATCATTCGAGTGGGACCCGAACGGGAAGCGGCGAGTTGGTCGTCAGTGCGAGGAGGTGATGTGGTGAGGAGATGAAAGCATGTGAGCCGACGTGGAGCCAGGTGAAAACGTTGGCAGAGAATCAAACGCAATGGAGAAGTGCGGCTGAAGCCCTATATTCCTCTAGGAACTAAAGGAAACAATAATAATAATGATAATTTTGACAGTTGCTGTGAGCCGCGTAGAGCGGCTGAGATCCACAGGATGCCAAGATCCAGTGACTTGAGACTGTTGGTGGTATGGCTCAACTTTGTTCTCAAAGGTGTAAACACACTCACTCTTTGTGATCTCCACACCCATAAGGTCCTCTTTACCCGCTTTCTAGTTATTCTTTCTCTTGTACCTTTCTGCTCACTATGTAGTTCTCTTGACTTTATAGTTGTGTGTGCTACATGGAGTTTAGCACCTTGAACTGCTGTACTTGTGTGCAAATGTCCACGTTGAAACTCAATCAGCCCGTGTTATTCGGTCGAAGGTAAGTGATGGTGCAATGTAGGACCTGTGTTTCGTCCTGATTGTGACTCGTTGACTAGATGTACATGCATCCTTAGTAAGTGATGGTGTTTCCAATGGGACTCGAACCCAGAACCTGTTATGTTTAATTTAAGAACTATTGTTGAATTTTTAAAGTATTGAATTTTGTGGGGAATTTTTTTGATTGGCTGGAGGATTTCATCGTGAGCTGACATCAGATAGGGAACCATTAGAAAACATAGGAGTACGTGACAGCTGTTTCATCAGTCTAGTTTGGGATTCTTCAACAGTAGCCTATGAATTCTAACTCCTGCCAATTTATGACATAGTGCGACCATCTCTCAATGTCTTGTTCGATGAGTTATTGCCTAACCTTCAACCTTCTGCCGTTGGATCGGGACCCAGTGGCTTAATGGTCTAAGAGCTCGCCTTGTAACCAGAAGGCCCTGGGTTCAAGCCCCGGTGGGTGCGTACTACTGAAGAGTCCCAAACCAGGCTGACGAAACAGTTTTCCAGTACTCCCAGGTTTTCCAACGGTTCTCTAACTGATGTCAGCTCATGATGAAATCCTCCAACCAATTATCGTTGAAGTTTTGTACAGCCACAAAATTAATTTATCTCTGCCCCTTCTTAGTCGATCAAATTTATTATGACCTAGCCTTTTCTTTTTGGATTTTGTGTTTAGAGAGAAAATTCCCATGGTGCATAAAGTCATCATGAATTCAGGTATCAGTTGTACATTGTTGGCTACAAAATGGTTTATCTGCCTATTCGCTGATGTTCTACCAATTGAAGTAAGTTTTTGTTTCTGTGCATTATCTATGCGTTTTATGCAAATTTCTACCAAACACTAGTATTGTTAATAACGTTATTGTTTCGGTGAAACAGCATGAAATGGCGATCACCAATTACGTCATCGTTTATTGGCTAACTTGAGGTTATCTTGGATAGTCTGGTCTACTTACTCACCTACGTGCAGTTGAAGCCCTATGTTCCACTAGGAACCCAAGGGAACAATAATAATAATAACTTACTCACCTATTCTAATTTTCTTATGATTACGGTTGAGGTGGCACAAATAGAGTTGGAATTTTGTGTATTTTATTTCTATAATTCATTTCTTGACTTCCTAGTGGAACATAGAACCAGCCTTAGTGGGACATCTCTATTCCACCCGATTCTATGCCATTACTTTCAGATGATTCCACGACTGTCCACAAGCTTTCATTGCCTCCTCTTCACATGACCTCTTCCATGTTACTCTCATATCCGCATCCAACTTGTTACTTCCCGTTTAGGTTTCATTCGATGACCTTCCGAGTGTGTGATGTCGTTTGAAGGTCACAATTTGTGTGTCAGTGTTAATTAGATGGACAGCTACTGTCTACATATTTACACTGGTAAGCCAACTTACCAATGGCGATGAAATGAAGTCCTGGTTAGTAGGCGTTTATCACAGTTCATCTGGTAAACTGTTCGGCTGGTATAAATGCTCAAAACTATATACTACTTATTGATTGAAATGAGTAGTAGTTGTATGTCACTAAGACTAATCAGATCAGAATGAATTGAACAGTGAGCTGTCATTTCGCTCGTTTGGCGCCGAGATCATTAGTGGCTGTACGTGGTTCAAAACAGTCGAGTTTCGGTCAGCTACTTGAGTGAACTGGTAATATATTAAGTTGGTTTAAACTGAGTCCACTGCTGATTACCTCCATGTAAAAGAGCAAGACGACCGTCTGGTGTTTACATTACTTCGATCTGGTTGGTGAATCCTACTGGCTGATGTGAGTGGTATTCAATTACTTATTTCAACCAATCAGTAGTATGTAGTTGTACGCTCGGTGGCATAGTGGTTAGGACGCTCACCGACCATGCACATAGTCCGGGGTTCGATCCCCGGCCGACGCACTCCTTTACCTCGCTAAGCCAGAAATAATGCTGGTGAAGAGGAAAGGTTGGGCATGAGGATAGCAACCCCATCCTGTAAAATAAACACTGCTACAGAAACTTCAAGCCACTAGCTTGAAGCCCTATGTTCCACTGGGGAAAGTGAAGGAAAAAAAACGCTTGTTTTTTTGATTGTCACCGATGTCATCTGAATGATTTTGCTTCCCAAGGAAAATTGTGGTGAAATCTTACCTCGAAGTGTATAAGCTGCATATTAATTTGCAAATGGCAACTCGTAATCTTGAGGTCGATGGTCTAAATGGTTCTACAAACTGATGTTTCACTTAATCGTTGATTAAACGTAGTCCACTGCATTAGTAGTGTTATTCATGTCACAGTAAAAGGAACATCATTTGGTCATTATGTGAAAACGATACCTGTAGATGGGATCAACTGAACCAATTAAGTCGGTTTTTATTTGCTTTTCAACTGAAATCGTCATTTGTATGTAGGAACTCAAGTTGAGTCCAAACAAGTAGAATATTCAGATCTTCAGGGTTTGCAGCTGATTGTCTTTTATCCCATCCACTTCTTTAATACTGAATACACTCTTTACTTCTCAACACCCTGATTTGCAGCAATCTTCGAATGTTTGGCAAGCTGTTCGTTCCTGTCAAATGTAAGATGATGCTACAGGACTGGACTACATTAACTCTTAGCTTAAAGATAGGGATAGAGTGTTGACCACTTCACTTAGTTGAGAAATTGCATCAACCCCAATTGGCTGATCGCTGACTAAATCTCAACATGGATACAAAACACTGGTTAGGCATTTGTCAACCTGCATCATCTCTGGCGTAGACGTGATATCCGACTGGCCATCTACCGAAGGACATGTGTACTGAATAGCAGCAGTTCTCTACGTTCTCCCTTATGTCTTTGAGTGAGACATGGTCACTAGAAGTAGGAGACATGAAAAGACCAGATGTCTTTGATCATAGGTGTTTGTATTCTATCTCCCATGTTAGGTGGTATGACAGGATGATTCATGTTGAGGGCAGATAGAGAGAATCAATCTACGAGGTTGTGAAGCAGCTGCATCGATTGAGATGGTTAGGACGTGCGTTGCTCACGCCTAGCCCATTTACTTCCTCGACAATGGGCAATGTTAGCTGACACAGGATGGATGAGGTTGGAAAAGAGCTAGTAGTGGTCAAACCAAAACCAACATTGCTTCATCAGTCAATGAAATCCATGACAGTTAGTTTAAACCAGCTAGTCATTTAGGGTCAGCGTCGAAAAGCACTGGAACAACTTGAAAACAGTGTGGAGTCAAACCTGCATGGAAGTTCTAGGCAGAAAGAAGAGACAGCACAAACAGTGGCTCACTACGGACACTTGGAGACTAATAGAAGAGAGAAGGATGGTGAAACAAAAGATTCTCCAGTGCACCGACGAGCAACAGAAACAGGATTTGAATGCAAACTACAAGACACTGAACAAAAGAGTAAAGAAGAGTGCCAGAGAAGACAAAAGAAAGTACTATGAAACCATGGCAAGTGAAGCAGAACAAGCTGCAGGCAAAGGAGACCTCGCAACACTCTACCAAACTACTAGGTACCTCTCAGGCAAAAATTCGTCACAAATTAGGCCAGTGAAGGATGAAAATGGAAAGTCAATCACCAAAGAAGTGGAGCAAAGGAAACAGTGGGCTGAAAACTTCAAAAGACTACTAAACCGACCGCCACCTACAACGCGCCCAACAATACCAACAACGGAAGCAGAATTACCAATGAACATCAACCCCCCGAGGAGAACAGAAGTCCTGAAGGCAATCAAGATGCTGAAAGCTGGAAAAGCAGCAGGACCAGATGGAATCCCAGCAGAGGCATTGAAAGTGGACCCAGAGACAACGGCAGACTTGATGACGCCACTACTGGAGAAGGTGTGGAAAGAAGGCAAAGTACCCGAGGATTGGAAGAAAGGATCCTTATTCAAACTACCAAAGAAAGGAGACTTAAGTCAATGCAAGAACTGGCGCGGAATTATGCTCCTGTCCATCCCAAGCAAAATACTAAGCCGCATCATCCTGGAAAGGATCAAACATGCCCTGGATGAAAAACTTCGACCGGAACAAGCTGGATTCAGGAGTAACAAGTCATGTATTGATCAAATCGCCACACTACGGATCGTCATTGAACAAAGTTTGGAATGGCAGTCACCTCTCTGTCTCAACTTCATCGACTTTGAAAAGGCCTTCGACAGCGTCGATCGAGAGGTGATTTAGCAACTACTTCGCTACTACGGGGTGCCGCCGACAATTATACATCTCATCCAACAGTTGTATGACAACGCTGCATGCCAAGTAATCCACAACGGGAAGCTCACGGAATCTTTCGAAGTGAAGACAGGAGTAAGACAGGGTTGCCTACTATCGCCAATGATTTTCGTGATTGCAGTGGATTGGATAATGCAACAGACAGCGGGCAATGAGGAAACAGGCATAAAATGGACTCACACAAAAGGAGACTTGGAGGATCTGAAATTCGCCGATGATACATGCCTGATTTCCCACAAATTGGAAGATATCCAAAAGTAAAGCAACAAGTTGGCAGAAGAAGCATCAAAGATAGGACTTCAGGTGAACATAGAGAAAACACAGGTGATGAAGATTCCTGGGCAGCCACAACAACAACAGACAACAATCAGCATAAATGGGAGGAACCTGAAAGAAACAACCTTTTTTACCTACCTGGGAAGCATCGTTTCAAATACGGGCGGAACTGACGAGGATATCAAAACAAGAATCGGAAAAGCGAGACAAGCTTTCACTACTCTCAAGTCTGTGTGGAGGTCAACAGCACTCAACATCAAAAATAACATCCGGATTTTCAACTCCAATGTGAAGTCAGTGCTACCATACGGATCAGAGACTTGGCCAGTGCGTTATAAAGAGCATCTCCAGCAAACTACAGACCTTCATTAACAGTTGTCTTCGCTCAATACTCAAGATCAGATGGCCAGAAAAGATCAGCAACAGGGATCTCTGGGAGCGAACCAATCAGGAACTGATTGTGAAACAAATAGGCAGGAAGAAATGGAGATGGATTGGCTGGCCATACTCTGAGGAAACCATCAAGTGACATCACTAGACAAGCCATTGCTCGAGTGGAACCCGAAAGGGAAGCGGCGAGTTGGTCGTCAGTGCGAGGGTGGGTGACTTGGAGGAGGTCATGTGAAGATGAGATGAAAACGTGTGGGCAGACATGGAGCCAGGTAAAGACTCTAGCAGAGAACGGAAGGCAATGGAGACGCACGGCTGAAGCCCTATGTTCCTCTAGGAATTAAAGGATACAACAATAATAATAATAGTGCTTGACGGGTTGGGGTCCTCGGGATTGTAAAAACCAGTGGCTGGAGACATATAGTGATATGGCTTAAAATCGTTCCCAGTGACATGGATACACTCTTTATGGTTTCCCATATCCATCAAAACCCTATTCTTCTTCTTCTTCCATATTACTATTCTTTCTCTCTGTCACGTTTCCGCTTATTATCGTTCTCTGGAATCTCTTTTGTCTTATTTTTTATGTTCTACATAAAGTGAGAGTGGCAACTCGAACTGCTACATCTCTGTGCAAAATTTTATATTGAAGCCAGTCAGTCAGCAACCTGATATTTCATTTCATCTTCAGCTATAATCTACTGCATCAACAGTGTTTGTGAAGTCACGGTAACGATCATATAAAGAATATACTAGCCTCCCGCTACTACGCGGCGTCATAGATGGGATCAATTGGACTAGTGAAGTAGATTTTCCTTTGTTTTCAGTTAGTTATTTCCTGGTCCTCCCGCCCACTTCCTACATTCTAAGTTTGTTAATTCTTGTATTCTGCCTGTTCTC